TAATGTAGGCACGAACTTTTGGGCTCCCCCTTTTGGATCTTCTTTGGATCAGGGTAGACGGACATTAAAAACACGGGCTACGAGCACACGGATTCTATAACATACGGGTACACGGGTACATGGACTCTAAATACACGTGTACACGTGTATTTTAATTACACGGGCTTTAACACCGTTTTGTTAAAAACACGGGTATCCGTGTTTTTAAATACACGTGAAATAGAGACCTCTAATTATTATATATGGTGTATCTCGAAGATATGACAAAATATTTAAACGTGATTTCATTTTAAAATTTAAAATCCTCAGTGATAAAGCATGTAATGTAATATTATTTGAGTGAATCATGCACAAGAATTAAAAGATGCCAGATTCTGACGGTGGCGTTTGAACTAATCTGCTAGAATTTAATTTTGCGTGGTCAAGACAACTACCGCCTATATAATATTATAGCTAGGGATCTTTATTGTGTTCAAAATAATAATATGTCCATAACAGTCTCCCCCCGACTTGTGACACTAAAAATAATAATAATTATTATTATATATTATAGAAATATGACGGCAATGGGCCCTGCAGCTTTGGTCATGTACAACGTGTCCGACGATGCGGAATACTACGCCGATCTGACCACTATGGTCCAGCGGGATGCTGCAGCGGAACTTGCAACCGTCTCGCCAGCGTCTCCCGGACGCCTATTGTCCGTCGATTACCCGTTCGCGATCAGCAAACAGTCGACGCCGACTACTACGGCCGTCATCGATTATGCGGTCAGAAACGTTTCTGTGGCTCTGTGCCATCAGCCCTCCGGCATACCATCTGTCGACGAATATTTTACCGGTGAGCCTATATAATTAATTTTATTTAGTTATGTCCACTTGTTCTCTATATATTATATTAGAGGTGCATGATACACGATTTAAGTAGGTATTTAATTGTCAGTACCAAATATTGCTTGTACTTGCGAAGAGATATAATCAGTTAGGTAGCTCGTGCTCTATACTACGCATGCAGTCTGCTTGTTTCCCTGTATAGTGTTATTGAACAAAATAATATAGGTATTCACTGGTGATAAGCTCACATTTGAGCCACTTTGTGTTCACGCTGCAGCGCAGTCTGCAATATTATAGAGTCTGTACACATCTAAAAATCTTTCAATAAAACGGGCCTATATATAGTAATTATAAATGTAAAATGTAATATTGTATTATAAGTAGATAGATTCATAGTTTTCTTTAAAATGTTTTTATGGATTAGTAATTACGAATCTTTACAGAAAATTATTCTTAAGGTAGTTAGGACTTGATTTAAATATATTAAAATTAAATCTATACCTACATAATACTCATTATATGGGTAAACATTTTTTTTTTAAATTAAGCAGAATAGTTTTCTAAGCTGTATGTACATTTTGAAAGGAATATATAAGCAAAGTGGTTGTTTTAACTTATTATTATATTATATTAGTGGTATATTGGCGACCAATATTTTTGGGGTATACCGTCATACCGAGCACACTTTTTGTGAATACCTGCAGTAATTTATCATTTGTCGTATAAACTACTTTAAAACATATCAACTTAATTCTAGAAACATCACAATTTTTTATCTTCATTTTAAATATACGTTAAATAAAGCATTATAGTCGTTTAACGGGTTCATTTTCGATCATAGACCTTACAGAATAAGGTGAAGGTCTACCAATGAGTTTCAATGTGTTATTATGGCAATATTTTTGTGTTGTGTAGACATTATAGTATAATATATAGATCGAATTGTTACATAAAAACTGATTGTATATTGACGTAATTAGACTTGAATTGTATTTATTATTATTTCATGAACAATACTTATTTTCTTCTTGTGGATCGTTAGTGTCGGGCTACTCATTGGTCTCGTCGTATTTATCTTTTATTTCAAATAACCAATCAATATTCATCAGCCAATCGAAATAATAACATGATCTGTATTGATATTATTAAATAAGTAATAAAAGATTTATGTATGGAAAAATATATTAAATTCCATTATTTTACTCTCTTAAGTTTATAACTATATAGGTAATAGAAAATGCTGAATTACATAAATGCTGTTATTCTTAAAATTCATTTTTTTGTTTTTTTTTTAAATTCAAAATGTAAGACAAAACATTAGTCAATAAATATTAAGAATAATTATAAAGAATAATGAGATTCATTGTAAGAGGCATGGAGTGGAAATTACACATTAGTAACACCTACGTATTTTGGTTATTTATTTGTTAGTATTTAATAAATAACAATTCCAATTGCGTTTTTTTTCTGCTAGGAGGGTTATCAATGATCTCTATTCTTGCGATAACTTATCAGGAGTAAAAAGAGAGTACATATTTTTTATTAAAGAGTTAGCTAGTGTGGGAGATCAATTTGGAATAAAAGCATTTGTAATATAGTTTGGTGAGAGTATTAACTGTCAAAATTTGTAGATATTATGTATTGTTATGTTAGTCAGATATCTTGAGGAACCAGTAATAACATCTGCTGAACGATATTTTTTGAAAAGCTTGAATTGGCTAACCATTAGATGGTTTGGCTGATTCTCAAATTTGTATAGGTACTATAATATGATCAAACCGGTGTGATCACATTTTTGTACTGGAGTGGTTTGGTTCTGAGATTTAATTTTGATTTTGGAAGAGTACGGAAAATATGATTATTTTTTTTTAGGTTTCAGCCTTAACTTGAGGTTGACTGTTTATCCAGTGTTATTCCAAGATATTTGGTTATATTTTGACGTTTTATTCTGTAATATTTATGTTATTATTAAGTATAATTACGATTTATTTAAAATAGTTTACCTACTTAAAATTATTTGTATAGTGCCCAGAAAATCTTAACACACCGGGATGCAATTATAGTCTTAGAAAGACTGCATGGATCTATATATATATTTATATGAAATAATATTTTACCCGAAAAAAATCTTTTAAAATTGTCTGCATGGTTTATTTACCCCTAACAGTTCGTTTACTTGCCGTTAGGCTTTATTCTTGTCGATAGTCATGCATAATACATTTTTAGGTTTCGTTCACATACTTAATATAGGTGCGAGGTGCCTATGTACATAATATTATGTACAATGTACTGCGAATACCCACAGCCGTGGCTGTCTGCACAACTTCGACAGCCATCATGATCATATTTAAATATTAAATACTAAATAGTAAACATATACGTATAAAGGTACCTAATGAGGATATTCGCGCACAACTTTTATCATTGTCATTGGACCTTGGTGGAATGCCAAAAATAATGTTTTGTTATCGTGACTCGTACCTATATTATATTATATATAGGTATAGATATTTTTTTTATAAAAATGGAAAACTGTGGGTGAAAAAAAGAAATTCATTGCATAACTAATGCGTGTAAGTATACATGTATATAGAGCTATGCGTAGTATTACATTTTTTTCTTGAAGATCGCGTAAATTCTTATAACCCTTGCACGGTTTGCGGTCGTTTGGACACGGAGTCATGAACATTTCAAGGTTGTTGTGGCCAAGGCGGATTTTTCTCCGTGTGTACATTGATATACACATCATTTTACGTTTCGGGATTGTCTGTCATGTAATATAATATTTAATATATATAGGACATGAGTACCATACACTTGTTGAAAAAAATAGTGTGGCAGAGCAAACATCATCATTTCCATCGATTATATTTATTTTTGATTGCGCAATTCAACGGAGTATAATATAGGGTATTACCTCAAAGTGTTCTCAATAGAACAGGTATTTACAATCGTGTATTAATATTATATATTGCTCACTTATATCACAAACACGTGCGTCGAAACGCGCCAAGAGGAATGGTCAACAAGGTGGCGTTGTAGTGGACAGACCACTTTCTCTGTAATATATATTTCTCTCTCAATCTCTCTCTTTCTACGTATCACTCTATCTCCCTCTAAAATGTTTTGTTTCTGTTTTTGTTAATTTGTTCTCACTCCGGTTATAATATTTACTACCGCATGTGTACCTACCATATTGCGTCATGTATACACCCATTAAAGAGGAGAGTAGCAGACTCTCTTGCCTTGAACTATTGATTTTGTAGAAAGCAATAAAGTATCCGGAAAACGAAAATATTTCAACAATCTCTGTAACGATGAGCTTATAATATCAATTGTAATAATAAACTATACTAAAATAAGTATACATTTTTTTTTTACTGATATTTTATATTATCATCATATACTCACTTTTGCACAGCCGATCCAACCAATCTATGATGATGTGTTATCCTATGAACTATACGAGCATACGAAGATGTAGCGACCTTATCTTGAGCCCCTCGTTCAGTACCCGGGTGTCAAACCAAAGGAATCGATTCGCAGTGTCATCTGCAGTCAAAGGTCCCAAACCACACGCAGTCCCTTTAAACCATCTTTCCACGACAATAAACGCGTGAAATGAATATTTAGTAGATTTTATTACTATCTTATATTATCTTAAATAATATACCAAGTCACTTATATAAAGGCATAATGGTCTTATTGAGTAATACATGGCAATTTTAGTTAAGATTCAATCAGAAACATTCGGTTAATCATAATTTATTATTTTTACCATTTATACACTCAATTAATTACTTAGTTTCTATTTTTTAATCATTCTAAATTGTTTTTCGTATTCCACTTAATTTAAATCCATACGTTTATAGGATCAGATGATAAATAAAATCAATGATCATGCGAGCATATTGTATTATTGTACCTACAATATTAGGTATATATTCCTCTGCGGCTCTGCATGTAAATACATTGTACGTAGGTAATATCGTATAAGTATAAAATAAAGTTTATCGTTTATGTTTTTATAATAATGAACAAGTAGTCTGCATATTATGATTTTATTATTTGTTCAATAAACATTAAATTAACGCATCATGTATAATGTATTTCTGTATTGTATATTTTAGAAAGTATTATACAAAGTATAGTGATGTATTACATAGGAATTTATTATATATAATATTATACAATAATACAAATATTATGTAAGATAATAGTTATACTTGAGTTATATTTCGTAGTTTTTTTTTTACATTAAAGATACTTATTATATGTATCTTGTTAATTTATAAATGTTCAGCTATGCTCTGTGAGCACGCCTGAAAATGTTTCGAAAGGCCGGAGGGTCTGGTCTTATTTGATATATATTGCGATAAGTGCATAATTTAAAGTTTTCGATCAACATTTGTACTAGGTATAAAACAACCAAAATGATTTAAACTTGTTATTGACAGTTGTAAGTTGGCCGGGAGCTGGTTAAACTTGTGGGCATTACCTACCTGCTTTTGTATTTTGCGCAAGCATGAGTATATAATATGACTTATATACGTACCGTAACTAGTTACAGTAACCAGCCATATATAAGGTTAGTCACCTAACTATATAATGTGCTACTTTATTCTTATAACTTATGATTTTTGTAAATAGTAAATCATATTTTTGTAATTAACTGCACTCAAAAATTTTAGTCTGCAAGTAAAATTTTACTCTTTTTTCACTGGAATAAAGGACTTATCCGTGGCTTTCTATTTTGTACGTAACCAATTAAACATCATATGCCCTTGTCACTTTATATTTTTCGTATGAAGAAGCTGATAACTTACGCCTTACAATTAAAGTTGTGTACTATTTTTTTTAGGGAGTTATATAACACTGTGCTGTAGTTTCTCGTTTCTTTCTGGCCAGGTGATGAAGAGTAATCTGTTGGGCGGCGCGGTCTATCTTTTTGTGGACTAGATTACATTTCACCACTTCAATCCCCACCCAAAGTAACACATTTAAGTTTAAATTAATTTATGCTGAGAAAAATAAATTAAAGAATAAGTAATTATTAATTTTACTCTCTACGTAATGTCCTTATGTACTTATTAATTATAATACCTATTTATCTGCAGTTATTAGTTTTAAAAACAAATTACAACTACTATCGACGAGTGATGTCTTAGTTGAATTTACTAATGAGTCAGCAGCTTTATAACTAGATTGGTCGCTAATTAGATAAGTTCTAAATATATACGGACCACGTAGGTTGTAGGTACAACGATGCATAAATATAACTATACATATACTTTCTATTTAATTGAAATTTTGAAACCAATAATGCACGATTAATAATATCTTAAATTGTATACGCTGTACATAATAAAAATAATAAGCTTTTCGATTGATGATTGGGATCGTTAAAATTTATAACGCGTTTGTTTGACAAGACCGGTTTTTGTTAATTAGTACTCACAATACCTACGGATCAAAATGATCGTTATAGAGTAGGTATACCTGTATCTGACCATAAACTTATATAATATATAATTTTGTAATGACAAAATCAATTTTAAGATATAATAATTATTTTTTTATGTTATTGTGGTTTTTTGTAGTTTCTTCATTTGTGTTGTTTAAATTAGAGCGTTTTCTCAACAACAATTAAAAAATGTGCTTTTATCGGACCACGCTTTCCGTTTGCGCTGATCAGGGTCACTACTTAGGAAGCTTATTACAAAATATACGCCATAATTATTATTTATATTTTATTTTTATTCTGTTCACGGTCCATTCCGCATGTGTGATCTGATCCTGCACATCTTGAAATATTAAGAGTAGGTATAACCATCGGTCCGTAAAGCACGTCATTATATAATATTATTGACTAACTATTGTATCATAATATTATTATATGTTTATATATATGTTCTAATGCTCTTGTCTCAAACCTAAACACTTACTTTTAAGGAACTGTCGACTTCTTTAGGAAACTTAATGTTGCGATTGTTTAATACTCTAATTCTGGTATACCAGCAATCGTTTACATTTGCAAAGATATTATTATATACGATTAATGATTGTTAATGATGACAAATGCAGGTTTGGATTCAGAATATTTTGGGAAGCAAATAAAAAAAAAAATTGGTTATACCTTTCTATTTAAAAGTTGTAGTACAAATTTGTTTTATTGGTGGCTTAGACGTCGGGAGGAACCCGAGCACCCATAGCGCTCCCCTTGAATCCATGCCTGTGATGATGTACTATAAATCGTTAATTATAATTATAATATATTATAATGCTTACCTATTTATTTTTTGTTTACTGCAGCTATAAACCTGACGGGAGTGACGATATTTACGGTTGGTGCTGTAATCGTGGTCATGATCCTGTATCTGTATGTGGACACTCTGAGGTGTATCATCAAAAATGCGCCGCCCATGGTTAAAACCCACTCTGCGTTCATACTTAGCGTATACCCGGTAAGTTTCAGTCGTCAAGCATTGTGAGCATTTGCACTGCAGCCAGACAAGGCAATCCCCTCTCCCCCAAAAAAGAAAAAAATTCATATTGAATGATTTATTATTATTTATCACTTGGATTCAATTTTGGTCCATTTTAGAGTCGTTAATAGTTTATCTTTGGTTTTACCGTCTCATCATGGGAATAAACAATTTTTATTTTTCATTGATAAATATTTAACTAAAAGTTTCAGAGCACACTTGATTTTTTTTGTTAAAGGAATACGTTTGATTATTATACACTGGCATTTGTATGTTTTCTCAGTTATGTGTATTATTGTCTATAACGCTTAAAAAAACTAATAAATATTTTAAACATTGATAAAGGGGTCGGGGTGTGAGTATTCGAATTTGTATGCTTATTTAAATGTATTTAGATTCGACCCATATATGGCTATAGACTGCTATCGCTGAAGTAGTGTTATGGAAATGGTGGGGAAGGGGGGTCAAAGGAGTTAATTGATCCCGGATGTTGTTGAATTATTGCTCTTTCGACAATTCTCATATCTCTAGATTTATTACTAATATTTATATTTTATAATCAATGATGATATAACCTGTATATAATAATATATACGATACATATTATGCCTATATAAATAATATGGGGGTTGGTAGGTAGGTACCTAATGAAGCGATAAATGAATTTCAGACATACCGCAGAACATCGGGCCATTGGTTCCGTATACCCTGCAACTAACAATATATGATGATTACGGAATAAACGTCATAACTCATAATATTTAACATACGGTATAGGTACCTTTAAAACTCACATGTTACGAGTTTACGAAACTGCAATTATATTTATGTAAAATGTATAATGCATCTTTCGATCCAACAGGTCGTCGCGGTGGCCACTTATTGCGCAATCCTGGTGCCTAGAGCTCACCTTCTGGCCGAAGCCATGACTCAGGGCATGTTCATGGCTTCGATGTATCAGCTGTTCTGTCTGTTCATGGCGTACTGCGGTGGAGAAGCCAATCTCATCGCTTCCGTAAAACCACAGTCGTTGGACATGCAAGTGCCACCCTGTTGCTGTTGGCCGTGCTGCTGTTTTTTGCCTAAATTCACGCTAACCAAGTACGATTATCGTGTAGATTTAGTAGTTTGTAAAAATATTACTTTTAAGTTTATAACTTACAACTTATAAGTACATATAGAAATTACCTATTATCGTGAACCTATACCTACATATGTTTGTTTGCGAAATACGGCAAACAGTAGGTATACAGGACGAAATGCAGTCGGATAGAATATTATAAAGTGTGTAACGACACTCGGTTGGGAAGGTTTCCAACTTATAACTTGAAAACATAAAAAAACATTTTAAAGGGGATACATTTTAATTACATTAAAGTTATAAGATACATTATGTATTTTTTTCAAAATTATCTGTTTAATATATGCTGTTTGATTAGGTAGGTATAGAAGTTTTTAATAGTATCTAGTAGGTACTTCATTAAAAACTTAGCTAAAATAAGAAGTGTGGATGGAGTGTAATAAAGGGTGCTGGAGCTGTGTCTCCACTTCTTTTTGAAGAAACTCTGGTTCTACGGTTAAATAAATTACCTGCACTCCACGTGTTTTTGCAGTGCCTAGTTAAAATGTGTGTAGACAATCCGAAAAATTACAACAAATATGCCATTCCATGAACCATCATTAACCATTATATATTATGCGTAATAAGGTACTGCAGCAAAAAATGTATATCTAAATAAATATTTGTATACCAATAATCTGTTTACGCGTCGTTATATATTTTTGTTTATACAATATATTGTATTCTGCAGGAAACATTTAAGGCACCTGAGAATGTTGGTGCTACAATTGCCCGTAGTCCAAGGTTTTGTATACATGGTGTTGCTCGTCATGTGGGCTGAAGAAGAGGTAATATATACTTATTACTTATATGCCCAATAATATATTATTTACTATTATTCATTACCTGAATTGAATATTAATACAATTGATATATTTATATTATACGTCGTAAGTCATTTGAAAAATTATAGAGCTTTCGCGAAAATCCTAGGTTCCTTGCAAAGTAATAGACCGTTTCGATACATGCATTTTTTTTCGTAGACAGACTGAAATTGTCTTTGTTTACGTAGAGAGGTAGGCCCGGATTGAACCGGCGCGGCGAGCTACCGAGAAACTCTCGAGGTAGGCCATGTAAAAATTGGACCGGTCATTCAACTAATTATGACTGATAAACTACAGCAGTAATATTATGAGATGCCTAATTAATGAGGTGATTAGATATTTTACGTTATTATTTTTACATAATAAATGTGCAGCGGTGTTATCTGTTATGGTTGTGCCTATGTATGTATGTATGTATGCAATAAACAAATATGCAAATAGTAAAGCATTTCCAAGTTTTTTGAACTCTAACGATATGCCCTATATAAATTATAGTTAAGAGCACACCTTAAAATTGAAGTCCAGCTTAACCTATATAATAGTACATATTATTGTGTATATTATTACGTCAAAACCTGTAGCCACATTGCGTAAGCTTATTATTTAATAATTAATATAAAATGTTCCGGTTAACAGAGCTTGTACCAAGTCAACTACATGTACATGCAACCATTCATCGTGATATCCATCATATGCGGCATGTGGGGCATCTCGATGACCATGAGAGTGCTCGGAGAAATACTCAAGGATCACGGCATCCAAGGGAAATTCGTGGTGCTCCAACTGGTGCTGGTATTGGCCAAGTTACAGGGACTAGCGTTTAGAGGGATAGTGTGGGCAGGATGGTTACCCTGCAAGCCTCCAATTTCACCCACCGTTTATGCGAATCGTACGTACCAATATATTTATATTATTATTCAGTATACCTAAATACAATGTATACCAGGAGATTAAACTAGGCTAGGTGTTTAATGTAAGACACTCAATATATGTACTTTAAAACCTATTAAAATATTTTTTTGAAAATATATTTTTACATTATTTTAAGTCGTTAAAAAATAACATTCTTAAACACCCACTAGCATTAATTTTACGAAGAAAAAGTAAAAATTATAAACAAACGCTTTACTTAAGTACGATAAAAATAGAATTTTCACTCACAAACACTGTAAAAATTGACCATGTTATACTTGATACAATCACCCGTCATGTCCACAGTGATATACAACTCGACCATGTTATGGGAAATGTTGGTGTTGGCCGCGTTGGCCAGGAAGCTCTACAAGAAACCGTTGCCGGACCAGTGTTTCGTCGATCCTCCGAAGATCACGTGCTGTGTGGATTTGCCTAGCAACCAGGAAAACAACAACATCATAACCGGCACGTACAACCAGTGTTTCGACATGAATGCTTAGAAAAATATATAAAGTCATATCGTTCCAGTTGGTGCACCATGTACGCGGTGACCGCCATGGGCAACTCTTTATTGGTTTTTGACTTTGATGACGACACACGCGTATCTATTCCACGCGTACCTATAAATACATAATAATATGTGATATTATGTTATATGCATAGGCGTGCCGAGTGCGCAAAGTTTAATCGTAGCAGGGTATGCTGCTTCCAAAATTTGCTCCCTGAAAATATAAATGCCCTAAATAGTGAAATACTCTTTTAACCTACCTTTGCCTTTAAAATATTTATTATTTATTAGTATTTATTACTACAACTACTCGTACTTACGCTTTTTATTTGAAAATAATAATAGGTTTTACAATAAACTACCGTCATAGCGAAAAAATGTATAACTTAGTTGGTAGTTTTAAATGTTTGTAAATATATTTATATACTTTTCATGTGTTGAGCGGGGTTTGAACCCCCACTCACCGTTTCTATGGCCCTGTCTATCCCAGCAGGGTACCAACCCTTATGTGCAAGCGCATACCCTGTGCAGTGTACACAAGCCTCGTCCGCATGCCTATGCCTATATTACAAGTATTTAGTATATAGTATATTATTGTATTATGCTATGAGTGCTGATTTCACGTCGCTTTACATAGGCACTTCCTATTCGAAATATCGATTTACTATAGTATAATTTATTATAGATAGTAGTGCACGTGTACCAGTGTAAGAGCAACTCCGATTTTTTCGTCGGAAAGTGAAAAGCACACACACAACATTAGGTACCTATATTATTATACTCTGTAGCCGACTAAAGACGCGTTTTTATACCTACTGTACATTTTTTTTATTTTTAAATATATTTTTACGAAACGTTTTATACTATTAACATTTTTATCCAGAGTACACTTTACCTATATTACCTGTACATAATAATTTATAAGCTTCAAAACTATCGATACAATTTTTTTTACCATTGGATAACCTGTAAAATAGGTTTACGTTATTTTAAACTTCCAGACTATAAAAAAAAAATATTGTCTCGTGTGAAAATAACTTCAGGCATCGACTTATTCGTTTCCGAAGATCATAGACACAAGTGATGAAGAAATTTTTTCCCATACTAAAGCTAAATGGAAGACGTACTGCACTGGTCTGTTTTTTTATTTTTTATTTCTTGGTCAAACGCCTCCTAACTAGGTTATAAGCTCATAAAGTCCTGACTCTTTCAGCTAAGCACCCAGTCGGCTGCGATTGTGGTTTACCGAAACTAAAATATGTAAAATCATATTATATTTATTATTCAAGGAGTACCTTTACACCTTTTCACAAGATATACTAGAAAGTTTGACGAGTATGATTTATGAGCCTATCCATAGAGATACCCACCTACCTACTGTGAAAGGGTTGTTAAACGGGGTAGACTCGGATGAAATAATTGACGAAGTCGCCTAGTTTAATAATTTATCGCCATAAAATAATTATACCGATGATGATCAATCGTGTCATTGTTATCATATTCTAGACCTAAGTGCAATGGGTGTATAAAGTGTGTCATACGAACGAAGCAATCAAAATTGTTTTTCTTTTGGTGGCCCTTTTAATATATTTCGTTGTCACAAATAAAACCTAGGTACCCACCCACTTTTGCTTTAGTATAATATTAAAACATGTCATATAAATAAATTAACATGTCACCCCATTGTTCAATATTTATTTCGTATTTTTTAAAGTGATTTTTGTTTGTACACTTCAGTAATAATGTGTTTGACCAGAGGTGACATAAAGGAAACTAGTGTTCGAAAATACTTTAAATAACAACATACAAAAATACTAACTTAATAGTTTATAAAATTATAACTGTCAGCAGTAAAACAGCCTTAGCATTTTTTCTTTTTAACGATAAATAATAATATTGATTATCATAAAACTAAATATTGAATTTAATGCTAAACAATTGGAAGAACATTAGGAAAGGTCTAAAATCAATAACAGTACACATATTATTAGATGATTTGCTTTTATTAAAAAAACAAAAAAAAAACTAAAAATCACTAATACTTCATGGATTTATAATACTGGTATGTGGTGAGTGCAATAAGATGATTAACAAGAAAACTTAAAAAGTTAAACAATAATTTATTATTATTATGATGAAACTATAACTAAAAATTCTAAATGCCAATATGATTTTTTTTTATTTTTTTATTTTATTTATACTTAGTGTTGATTACTAAAGATTATATAGTTATGATTTATTGAATTAAAAAAACTAATAAATACTTCTGGGATACAATAATTGTTGTTTAATGCGAATAATTATTATTTAACTAATTTTTTTTTATTACCTACTTTATGATTATTAATTGCGGAATCGAAATAACAATATAATATAAAGAACACATTACGGAATAAAATGTTAGTTAGTCAAAATATCAATAATACTTTAAGAGTATTCAAAAGTTCGAACAACGCTAAATTATTATTTTAAAGTTATGGTATTTAATTGAATAATATATAGTAGATACTATTATTAATAAATCTTCAAATATTACAGTAATCAAGGCAACAAATATTGTTTTATACCTTATATAATATATCATTATGTTATAATTATTATAAAAGCTAGATATTATTGTATTATTGCTATATATTTTAATAATTTCTATATGAGCTTGATTAATTCCAATTAATTTTTCTATAAAACAATATTACAGAAAATGAATGCAACAATAAATATTGAAAAAAATCAGCAAATTGTATTCTTGACCTAAGCTTAAATAATTAATATTTTGAATATAAAGTGATAATTACAAACTAAATTATAAATACAACCTAAAATATATTATGGATCCTTAATAAGAATATGATTGAATAATAATTTATCACATATTGATACTAAGCAAAAATTATTGTTATTAAATGAAATGTTTATTTCTTTTAGTAATAAATATCTAAACATATTATTACTTCAATAAAATTGACAAATAATAATTAGTTACATTTTGTAAGGTCTACAAGAGAATAATACGTTTTTTCTTTTAATGTATCTAATATAGTACATTTCTTTAAATTTATTAGCGTCCATCTATGATAAAAATCATAGTTTTTTATTACGAATAGTTTAACTTCACTAAAAATCAAGTTTGTAATAACAATTTTATTTTTACACTAGTATTAATATATTATTTAGTTAATGAGTGTCTATTTTGAGTTAAATTTTTTTGACTTTTTCAAATAATAAACTTAATACCTTAGTCTCTTTATCTTCTTCGTTGGCTGATAGGTCAACTAATTTGTTACTTGGTTCAATATTAGTTTCCATACTGCCTGAGTGTGAGGACACACAAGTTCCACCAGAAATTTCAATTTTGTTTTTTGTACAATCTGCATCAACAGCTTTTCCACCAACCGATTCCACATTATATTTATCAACTAATAATTGTTTTCGATTGTTTCGATCAATGATTTTTTCTACATTACTATTATTTACTGAATATTCATTAACCATAGTCTTGATTTTAGCATTTATATGTGAATACTCATCAATAATTGTCTCTAACTTGAGGTTTCCTTTAGCATATTCACCAATAACAGATTGAATATCGACATTGTTTTGGGAATATTCATTAATCAATGTCATTATATCAGAATTCCTTTTTGCATATTCTTTAATTATTGTATTAAGGTCTACATTCTTTTTTGAACCCTGGTTGATTATTAAATCAAGGTCAGTATTTGTCTGGGAATATTTCTCAACCTCAGTTTTCGTTTCACCATTTTTTTCATTTTTTTCATTTTCTTTAACAATACTGTCATCAACACCATTGTTTTCCACTGAGTAATTATTGATAGCTGATTCAATATCAGAATTTTTCTGTGCACATTTATTCATAGTGTTTTCCATATCATCATTTCTCTTTGAACATTCATTTATTTCTTCCTCCAAATCAGTATTTTTTTTTGAATATTCATTAATAGTTGTTTCTAAATCTGTATTCTTCTGTGTGTACTCACTCAATACTTTTTCAAAATCTGTACTTTTTTGTGAGTCGTCATCAGTTGATTCTTGGTTGTTATTTTTGTTTTTAGGTTCATTTGAACTAGTAGCACTGTTTCTGTTTATTTTATTTACGTCATCTTCATGTAATTTGCTTGTTTCTTGGAGTTTAATATCAGTGTTCTGAGTAGTATTGCAATCACCTAATGGCTCTTTAACAGTTTCATTATGGTTTTTCTCTAGCGTAGTAACATTTGTTGGCTCTAATTCATTTTTAGGATACACATTTTGTAATTTTTCTTCCAATTTTGATTTTATCGAATCCCCAGATTTAGTCTTTTCAGCTTCTGCAGCTTTGAATTTGGCTCTATCTGCCAACATCTACAAAAAAATTAATTTGTTTAAAATGACATACAATCAACTTTAAAACATTATTTATTTTTATTTGTTATTAATGATTAAAATTTATTTTACCTTTTGTTGATGTAGAAGCATGCGGCGTCTCATATTTGTACACAACTTGCTAGTTTTAACTACATCTTTAACATCTTCTCTTTGTTCATAACGTTCACTCCAACTCTTGTCATCGTTTTTTTCTTCAATTTTTTCTCCAATTATTTCGTTTTTAATAGCTTCTTCAATTTGTGTATTATTATCCTTTTGATTAGGTCCTAGTAGAGCACGTATAGCTTTTGCTTTCATTTCTAATTCTAAAATCTCTAATAATGTTTTTCCTTCTTTTTCCTTTGATTTTTCTTCTTCTGTTTCACTATCTGTTTCAATTTTTTTCTTTTTTAATGATTTTATTCGTTTTTCTTTGAGATGTCTCTTTTGGCCAGTTTCATCTTTTTTTCCTGTTTCTAATTTATTTTGTTTCTTAACATCATCAATAGAGTCATCAGAGTCTGACGATGAATTCATTTCTTTGCCTAAAATAAATAATATATTTTACAATAAATAACATCAAATATCATAACAATGAATTTTATATTACTTATTAGTTATTACCTTTCAGTGAGATTTATGTTTTGGAAAAAAAAAACCATCCCCAGGATTCATTTTTACGGATAAGTTTAAAGACCCCATGGTTTATAAGTAAATAAGAAATAAGAAAATCCACATTGAAAACTCAATTAAAAACATTCATATAAAACCCAAAGTATATGAATGACTGAAGGAGTTCGGTGCTACAACCTGTGGAGTAAAACAAACAATAAACGTTTACGACCTCTGCCTCCACATGAGATACTCCTATCAGATGACAACTCTTATATGTACACAAACTTTACCTTGATACATAGTTATGTTTTTTTTTTATAAAAAATAAAGTTTTATAACATTGGTTTAGAAGTTAAATATAGATCAAATATAATTTACCTTCCAATGTAGCCAACACTCGCTTCTTTGACATGCACAATAACTGAATGAGACAATCTGTTTTCAACTCTTCAAATGTCATATCCTAAAAAGAACTAAGTTGTATTAAAACATACAAGGTTATGAAATATAATTTGTTAAGTAATAACATACCTTAAGTTCTGGTGGTATAAGTCGAGCAAGCCGTTTACCACGTACAACAGAAAACAATTGTTGTATTAACTGTTCAGGGTCATTTGCATAATGACTGAGAGGAAATAAGTTAGTAGGCGACAAGCTCATTGACTCCTCATCGGTACTAGAGTCATTGCCCAACTAAACACAGGGCAATAGAAGTAGGTATGTAGATACAATTCAAAAGATAATTAACATTTTATTATTAGTTAGAAACCAATCAATTTAAATTATGAATTATGCATATTGGTACTTTTTGGACATCGCAACCACCAACAGTTGTCGGTAATTCTGGTTTGATTATCTTGAATTTTTTTTTGGAATTCCTAATTTTGGCGATCGAAGTTGGCAAACAACAGGAACTAATACTACTACTTCATACGAAAAATCTAACAATTGAATACACTACAGCCTTAGCAATGAAGTGAATTATTTGATGTAAGAATGTTACATTCCATTCCTACAGAAAAGCCTACATATTTTATAATGTACAATAATACATAGTAAGGATAACCGAATCACAATTAACGACAAACGTTGGTAGTATTTTTTGTTTCATTTGAGTATTACCATATTTATAGCTTTAGAAAGCAAAATATGGATCGTATAATAATATATGAGCCTATAGACATTTTTTTATTAAATAAAATTATGATTGCATTATAAAACAAATTAAGTTGTATTGTAATTATTTATCAACTATCATATTTTGACAGTAAAACTATTTGTCAAATAGAACATGATAATTATTATAAGTAAAAATGAAACAGGTGAGACTTAATCATTAAACTGTAATATTACGATGTCCACAACAGACAGAGACTTAAACATTATAATTACAATAACTATTGGGTTGTTTACATCATTTTTGATCGCTCTATATAGATTGGCTTTTTTCCGCTGATTGTTCAGATGAAAGTCAATAGTCCTTTTCATGGCCATGTCTGATAATTGGTGTTCATAGGTAACAATAATAATTGTTAGTTACCACAGTATGGCGTCGAAACGGCTTCGGGGACGAAACCGTCAAACACGGGAAAATAACTAATAAGTTATATATGTACAGTTATACAGTTATTATAAGCAAACATTTTGTAGTTAGTTGAGTACTTACATTATTACGCTGTCACTTTTACGGCGAAGTCTCGGGTTTTTGCAATTTTGAATCGAAACGAAAACGACGACCAAAGGTGGTGATATACGATGAAATTCATAGACAAATTATTGTATTAACGGCGAAGACTGTAAAAATGAAAACACAAAACAAACTTAAAAGTGAAAACCATGAACTAAGATGTCACTTCTCAGCCCATAAAGTGTCCTAGTCCGTGCTGAAAAGTGGAAACTAAACGAAAAGCGAAAACTATTAACTGAAACTCCGAGTAGCACGCAGATCGCGCTGCAGTCGTATCAGTTACTGCTTATTTGCGATAGCAAAGAATTGGAATTTTATTAATTTATCAAGTTTTTAGCATTTTTTTCGAAAAAAATTACAATTTTTAATGATTGTACCCATTCCTATGTATTACTTTGGCATGTCCTATGATGAATGATTGATGATTAAATTTAGAAATTCGTTATCAACATTTACGATTCACCGATAACATAGAACAACTTTATTATATGAATAATAATTATCTATTGTTTTATGCCGGTAATTTCACCTATTCTGCGGTACTACCACAACTATTTATTATGACATGTCTTTTAAAATTCATCAACCAAACTAACGGATTGATTGGAGTTTAGGAATAGTTAATTAATGGTAATTTAATATTATAATATCAAAAAAAGCATGTTACTCGTTAGTACTCTTCGCCAAAGTTTAAGAAAAAGGACAAATTGTCACTACCTATTTGAGTACATCTCTGAGATTGATAATAAATACCTAACCCAACTTAACCCAGGTATATATTATCAATCTCAGAGAAATACACGCCGATATATATATATCTGTGGGAGTACATAAACAAATAAGCAATATAGATTTCTAATCACTATCACTCTAGATGATAACACAACAAAATATCTACTATCTTTTATAATTATTATTAATTTATTATTAATTCGTGTGTAGTATTTAATTTTTTACCGCTAAACTTAAAAATATGTTATTATGTTAAACTCCAACAAAAAATAACATTTGTCTCATCCGTAAAATCGTAATACTTGTTTGCTGAAATTTTGTTAAAATGAAAAACAAATTTGACCTGGACTTTAATGTACTCTGTAGGCTTTGCCTGCACAAAGGGCCTGAACTGCGTCCGATTTTCGATTGTGATTTTTCTTACCGTATCGAGTCGTGTGTTGGAATAGTAGTAAGTAAAATATACATATAATACAGACCATTTGTAATGTTAATAAATACTAAATTATATTATATTCTCAACTACAGATACGGCAGTGTGATCTTGGGCCAGTCCATATGTGCGTCAACTGTCTGAGTAATTTAGAAAATTGGGAAGAATTTAAACAAAAATGTATATCTTCCAATGAATGCATTCAAAACTGCATCAAGCAGTTGGAAGAAGAGAAACTAAATTTGACTGTAGATAATTCTATTAAGCTCGAAGAACAACTAGAAATAGATGAACAGGAAGATATTCATGACAGTACGTTCAACAACGAATTTAACAATCAAGACTCTGATAATGATTCGTCAAAATCTAAGTCGCCCATTTTACTAACAGTAATGCAGTTGCTGCCAGTTGTTATTTCATAGTTTACATAATGAATTCATTAATATTTTCAGACACGAGAAGTCTACTCGAGAGCTGTTAAAAAAGAAGGGAAGACTTTTGAAGTGGCAAATACTAAAACATCCAATAAGAAAAAACGATACGGGTGTGGAATGTGTTCTATAGATTTCACGGAAAAAGAAACACTGTACAACCATTTAATAGACTTCCACAAATTTGAAGACAATAACACCCCACATTACTGTCTAATATGCAATAAAGGATATTGTAACTATTCACTTTATCAAAACCATTTGGCTACTGAACAGGATATTCATGGATCCATTCAAATTCAGGTAACTTCAAGAAATATGTTTATTATTATTACATAGGCAGGTAAGTAAACTTTTTGAAGTTGTATTGGTTAAACAGTAATCTACATTATTTTTACATTATTTTTTTTTTATCGCTACTATGTTAAATTTTAATTGGATGTTTCCAGGATAAAATCAAAGACTGTACAATTGGTTGTGGACTATGTACTTGTAAATTCAGCCGGTCGACTAGTCTCTATCGTCATCTCAGAAATCATGCATTGAAAAAAGACCTTATGCCTCATTTGTGTTCATTTTGTCAAGTGGGATTTCTTGACACATACAGTCTTTACTTGCATGCATCAACCGAACATCACGCTGCATCAGTCACTGTAAATGAACCAAAAAAAGTATTTATTTTTTATTTTCCAAAATAGTATAGTGTCGTAAGCATTTAATTTAAATATTTGATTGATGCATTTTGTATAGGAATGTTCTGACCTGACAACCATTCTTAACCAAGGGGGAGAATTATCTGGCAAGATGACTATGGCCAACGACACTGCAGTTGATGATGAGTACAAGGACAACAAATATGCGATCACTACCAAGCGTAAAATCAAAAAACTCAACACACTGGAGGACAAGCGTGCAAAGTATCGAGAACACTACAGGCGATTCCAGTCAAAGACATACGCATGTGAATTCTGCGACGTCGCCTATTCCCGGTTCTGTGATTTGTTTAACCATGACCGTACAGCCCATGATGACATGCCCAAAGAGTTCAGCTGCCCCACTTGCGGCAAACTGTTCCTGACTGACAGCCGGCTACAGATCCACCGGAATGCGTTCCATGCAGAGAAGGCGTTTAGCTGTGACGTGTGCAACGTGCGGTGCAAGTCTAAGCACACGCTGCGTACACACATGCGCAAGCACAGTGGCGTGTTTACCTGCACACACTGCGGCCTGACAACAGCCAGCAACGCGGCACTTGTGTCACATGTGCGCATACACACTGGCGAGAAGCCATTTGTGTGCGATCTATGTGGCAACTCATACGCATCCAAGCTGGGGCTTACGTCACACAAGCGCACCCACCAGCAGGAGGCACTGTTCAAGTGCAACGTGTGTGGGTACACGGGTTCCAGCCATAGTTCCATATACATACATAGGCAGACGCACAACTCAGACAAACCATTTGTGTGCGATGTGTGCGGAAAAACATTTAAGATCAAGGTGCGGTTGGTTGACCATCAGAAGATACACTTCGCATCCAAGAACTATGTATGTGAGGTGTGCAACAAGGCTTTCCTGGCCCGGTACCAACTAGTCCAGCACTCGCGTACCCACTCGGGTGAAAAACCATTCCAGTGTCATTTGTGCACCAAGGCGTTTGCCCGGCGAGATGGGCTGTCAGAACATATCAGGACACACACAGGCGAGAAACGGTATACATGCACAGAATGTTTTCGTACATTTTCGTTCTACAAGAGCATGAAGAATCACAAGTGTTTAGTGGCGACCAGCGGTGGTGACGATGATGATGACAATGGTGATATGGATAACATCCGCAACACTAGTGAGGTAGAGACAACGACAGATCCAATGCCTTCCACCGCACTGCGAATGACCACTGAAGACAATGAGTCCACATTGGAACAATCTTATCGATCTACTGTTGAAGTCGATAACAGCGGCAGTGGTATTCCAGTGTTTCCCGTCAGCTGGACACCCAGTTAGGAACTTCTTAGTGAACTATTTAATTATAAATTTATGTAAATGTTGGGTAATATTCCAATTCATGTTCATGGTCTGACTAGCTATAATAACCCATTTTTTGATTTAAATCTTCCTGGCTTTACTAAACAATTTCTAGGCCTGAAATATTGTGCATTTGTGCCAGTCTGCCCCTGGCTGTCTGGTAGTGATAATTAGTTGATACTACTTTTTCAATTTAATGAGTTACTATTTTTTTTTTGAATGAAGTTGAAACATTCGATTAAAAATTACTATTGAAATATATATATATCTATAGAATATATACTATTTCTGTATAATATATTTATGACCACAGTCTTATATGATTTTAGTTTTATACGTCTTATATTATTATTTATTATTTATTATATATTATCTATCATCTACTCTAGTAGCGATACAGAATAGATGAACCTTTATCTATGAGGATAGTGTACCTCTTTGCAGAGTATACATAATATGGGCCCCAAAAATAATTTAAATGAAAAAAATAATTGAGAGTATTGATTGCATATTTCATTTTCATATTACCTATTGTATTATGTTTCTACAGTAATATTCATTTGTATGTTAACTGTTAGTTATATGTAATTCATAAATAAAAATATTAAAGAACCTTTTTAGTGTTTTTTTACTAAATTCATATATACCATAACCATGTTCTCATTAAAAATAAAAATTTAACTCCACAAAGGATAAATAGAAACAATTGTTAACCTAAAATTTTTGTTGTCCTATATCTGTAGAATATGAGGATGATCCACCAAGCATGCTCAACTCAAATTTATCTTTAATAATAAATCTATTCCAATTTAAAATCTGATTTTTGAAATTGTTGTATCCTGTGTCGATACAAACATCTCTTTTTTAAAATGAGAACTAATATTTTTACCATGAATTGTTTAGTAGATAATTTTTTGTAAATGTTGATGTATCTAGATAAAAATAGTATCTATTACCGTTGCTTATAAATAGTATAGTATTTATAATATATATTTAAAGAAAATAAATTATTTGCATTGATATAATTTAATTTATATTAATTACAGATTAATCGATTATTAACTATTATAACTTCATTAGTCATTCTATAGATATACTAGGTATATATTTAATCATGGTTTAAACACATTTTTATTCACTTCGGCCCCCCTTTATTTCCTAATAATTTTACTACATCCTTTTGAATGTGAAATGGCTACCAAAGCCTAGAAGACAAAGTGGATTTGTTGGCTTACTGGTTTAAGTCTCCACGCATAACAGGCGTTATAAGCACTGCTCAGTGGCTTGTATCATAAAATAAATAAGTGTTGCTCAAATAATTTTGGGCAACTTACCCCTCATTATACTGTTATACTGATCCATGAAATGTCCTATTTTTCTCTATCAATACTCACCCACCCATATTTAAGGTGTTGCCTGAGCAACACTTAGACCCTATGTTACGTGCCATTGGCACTGCTGATTGATCAAGAAGTTAGTGATGTAGGAATCATAAATAGTAAAATGATAAATGGTCGGAACAAAGCTTTTTGAATTACCACTATAAAGTTTAATCTAAAAATGTACACAATGTATAAATATGCGTTAAAAAAATAAAAGTTTAAGTTTTGAATTCATTGATGTACGAAACAAATTTTGTATTAGAAAAGCACTGCCTGGGGCTTCTCAAAAAATAGTACATTTGCATTAGAATTCGGGTTCTAGTTACAAGTATTTAACGTTGAGTTGAGAGGAATGGATCATATAAATCCACTATCAAGGTATTCTGAAAAAATTGTCAACAATAATAATATTATTCCAGATGGATTATTTTGTATCAATCCGGGGGTCATAATGTCATAAAATGACACTAACCCACTGTGCAATTGCTAGGTCTTCAATTATTCACACTTACAATTTAAGAACTCATTGACAAGACATTTTTTTGGAAGAATTTGAAGAACAACATTAAAGTATGAATTTTATTTTTATATAAATGATTATTAAAATGATGTCTTGTACTTTTTTTGGCACCAAAGTAGATGAAGTATCTTTTGAAGCATTGATCATTACTTTAAATTCATTCCTACATTAAATTTCTGCGAACAGGGACAAATGGACGCGGCCGTTTGGACGCAGCCATTTGGACGCGAGGTCATTTAGACGCGGCCGTTTGGGCGCGGGTACATTTGGACGCGAAAAAAACATAAATTATAATATATTTATTTTATTCGTAATTTTATATTAGGGTATACATATAATACAATTAAAAATCTAAAACAGTTATTAAAAAATACAAATTACAATACAATTAAAAATGTAATAATTACTAAGTTACTGTACAGAAATATTTTGGGCTATCCCTCTCAAAAATGACAAAATTCCACTCTGTTCATAATTTTGAACAATTTTTAAAATCCTTTTATCAACATCAATATATTTTTTTTAGTTTGTCAAATAAATATATAAAACCATTTTCAGTAAAAATGCATTCATTACGATTTGACTTCATTAATGCCATAACTACTTCAAATATTATATATATTGTGTTTAAATAAATCGCTGTTATATTATAAAAGTAACGTAGATCTAACCACTGCTTTCGGTCAACTAAAGTTTTCGTTGGTTACGAGTGGATTTTAATCGTAATTTCTCGATAACGTTTTTCGATAACGTCGAATAATCCCTAAAGGTACGGTTTCCATGCAACGTCAGACGCGAGAACAGCATGGCTGCGTCGGACGCGGCGTCTAGACGCGACCTACGTCCAGACCGGTAGTGACGCTTGACGCTGCGTCCAGACGTTGCAGGGAAACCGTACCTTAATATCGTGATAAAAGTATAATGTTATATAGATATAATATATAAGTATATGATATAGGTATAAATAATTCCATAACATCAATTATGATTATGGTATAGTTTCCCTATACCCGGAAAATAAATATTGTTATAAATTTATAATTTATGTTTTTTTCGCGTCCAAATGTACCCGCGTCCAAACGGCTGCGTCCAAATGGCCGCGTCCAAACGGCCGCGTCCATTTGTCCTAGATCGACATTTCTGAGTTCAATGATTTTATCATTTATGTTAATTAGAGAAGTTACAGAAAATACACTTATTAAATCATTTTAGAAATCTTCTACCTCAATAATTAAATTAAGAAATGTTTAAAGCTTGGCAAAAAGTAGCTTACTTTAAGTAGGTAATCTAACAATTATTTTCTTCATCTATTTATTTTATTCTATTTATATTACTATATTAGTGATTGGAGAACCCCAGTGTTGGGTAGTAACGTAACGTGCGTTACTCGTTACTGTAACGTAGTTACATTTTTCAGTAACGTTATGGTAACTTCGTTATTATTATTTTTGGGTAACGCAAGAGTAACTACGTTAATTATTTAGAAGTAACTTAGCAAAAGAACGCATTACATTATAAATTAAATTTTTTTCGGGGCTGGGATACTATCGTGGTGCTATTTCA